GGTCTATTTCATTGGTCATTCTTTCAATGGACTTCTCTTGTTCTTTTAATTGGGAGTAGTTCCTCTTCTTCATTTTACTTCTGTCTCTCTGGCTCTTTGGATTTATAAGTATCAGTTATATTCTGTGGTTTTGAAGGCTGTTTTTTTAGGTGTTTTTTTTAACGTCCTCAGTGGCAAGAAAGAAAATTCAATTGATTTAAACAAAAAGTTCATTTTGCTATAAAATAAAAGGCCAAGGCTACAAGTATCTTCAGACATCACTCCCTCTCTCTCCAAACTTCTACTGTTTTCTTCTCTGTTGGCCTGTTTCAAACAAGCTGTGCTCCAGTAGTAATAAACATGCCACCCACAGAGCCACTTTCATACCTTACCAGGTCACCACCTAACAATGAAAGGAGCGTATCTTTTTCTCAATAGAATTAGCAAGACTCCTGGAATGAGTGTCATTGGTTGACTCAGATCATACCCCATCTCCAAACCAGTCATTGTGGCCAAAGAGATTGTTCCAGTTTTTAATGCTACATCATGACCCCAACATTTAGTGGCTTAAAACAATAGAAGTTTTATTATGTCCTATGATTTTATTAGTATTTTGGATGTCTCAGCAGGTTGATTTTTCTGTTTCAGATGACACTGACAGAGGTCACAGTGTGGTATTTAGCTGGTGACTAGACCGGACTGGTCTGGTCCAAAATGGCTCATTTACCTTGGCCTGAAGTGAGTGGGTGGAAGGATGGGTTCTGCCAGGGTGATCAACAATGTGTCTCTGCCTCCCAGCGTGGAAGTCTCAGGGTAGTCAAACTTTGAACAAGATGGAGCAGGAATCCCAGAGGGAGGATTCCAAGAAGCATGGGTAGAAACCACCAGGCTGTCTGTCTATGACCCACCTTAAGAAATCCTAGAATATTACTCCTGCTGCATTTGGTTGGTCGCTAGGACCAGGCCAGGTTCAGCAGGAGGGGAATGATACTTTACTTCTCAATGAGAGGAATAGCTAATATTTTTTTTTCTTGCAGCAATCTTTGACCTCCAGAGAAACAGAGTGATCTGATTGGGCAAGTGTGACCATATCATCTCTGTTTCCAAGGGGTGGGGTCAGCTCTATCCAAAACATCAGACTAACATTGTAAGGAGAGTAGTTCCCCAAAGGGAAGTTAGGGTTATTGTTAGCAAAAGACAAGGGAGCAGGTGCTAGGTCTGTAGAAACAACAGGTATGTTACAAACTGATGTTGGCATCACCAAACCTGTGATTCCAACAGGCATTCTGGAATTTAAGAAAAAAAAAACATAAAAATTGGGGGCTCACAAAAGCCTGAGTTTGTATCCTTTCTTGGCCATTCATTAGCTTGGGCTAATTACTTAAAATCTGAACCTTTCCATCCTTATCTGTAAAATGTGGATAATAATAACCTTCTTAGGGTTGCTACAAGCATTAGATGAAATACTCTATATAAAGCACTTAAGGTTTGCTCAACACATGTGAAACCCCTCTCTTTCCTAATGAAAACTCTTCAGCTGTAAACATGAGCTACTCTTAAAATCAGCACCCTATTTGAGAGCGGCATGGAACGCAGTAGCCTAGAGGGTTCTAAATGTGTAGAAACCAAGCATTGTTTGCAGGCTACACTGGCTATTACTTTCCAAACTCCAATTCATATTGTTCGCTTTGATCAATAAAAGCAGATACAGTTTGTTCACTCTCTGTTCACATGAGAGAGTGCCTCTATGCATCTCTGCGGTGACATACTATTTCCTGTTTCATCTCCAAAATTCATTTCTCTCAGAATGCTCAGCATTCAAGGCCATCAGTCTTTTAAGGAATATTGGAGGTCACTCAACCCATCGTAATAATGAAATTTTAGGGCTGAATTTAGCTTTTCTCTTTTATTGGTCATCACTAATAAAACTTGATTGATTAATATTTTTTCCTGGACATTCAGGTACTGGAAGCTGTCTTCCAAATCCAGCGATGAAATGTGTCTTAAAATACCAAACCAATGACTTCTCCGTCTGGTGCTTTTCATCACGGAGACAAGGCTGAAACTGAGCTGTCCTTCAAGAAATGTTAGCCTTGGTTTATACACCTTTTTTTTGATGGGAACACCAGCTGAAAAACTTAAGCTACTAATGTTGCAGCTCTTTCTTATTTTAAAGCTTCATTTATTTATCTCTCTAATTAATGTGTCTAGTTCTTGAATTTGATCTAAATAAATGTGGTCTTGGATTGAAAGCAATCAGGATATTGTGTGGCATCGAAGGACAGCCCTAGTTCTTTCTCCCTCCTGTTACTAGAAGATAAAAGAGATGGAGAGCCTGAGAGTGAGAGAGAAGAAGATTTGTTTCATTGTGTCCAGTGTGCAGGGGTCATATCACTGATGATAAATGAGATCACTTTAGATAATGATGGAACATGGCACTAAATAACAACAAATCATTACTTCATTAATATTCATTAATATTCCTTTTTCACTTTCTTCCTGTCTGCCTGATATCTTGAAGGAGAATGGCTCAGTTTGGCACTATTGCGTCTTTAACACCTCTCTACAGTTTACTCATCGCCAGTTTTTTAAAGCAGACTGAGGACATCACTTTAGGAGGACAATAATATCTAACTAGATGCAGTAACCTTGTTTTTCATTCTAAGTTTATATTTTTGACCTTAGAACAAATGATACCGGTTTATCACTCATAGCAAGGAAATAAAGTTCCCTTTTTATATAAAACTGTTTAAGTAAAAGAAGCAATTCCTAAAAGCAGTCCCCGATGGCTTAAAATTCAGGTAGAGCTCTTTCCTTGGGTCACGGGTTCCTGCAGTTTCTTCTGCCCTGGCTCCTTGTCTAGAAAGCAAGAATACCCAGTTTGTTTTGCAGCCTGGGTGCAGGGAAAGCTGTGGGAGCCTGTGGTCACGTGACCTGCAGTCGGAGGAGTGATACAGACGCTGAGCAGACACCCTCCAGGCTACCCCTGATGGAGATCTGAACTGAAGGAAATATTCGATGTGGACAGACTGCTTGCTTCTGCCAAATGAATTAATCCATCCCCAGCACCATCCACTCAGTTGCACTTTCCAAATGCAGCACCATGGCCCAGGAGAAGAAATTCATCTGACAGAGAAACAGTGTCCCCTAGGATGAGAGAGAGCTTGCTCCAGATCAAAAGGGATCCTTTCCCTTGTCCTCTGGGCAGCTCTGATTTGCCACAGCCTCTGCATTTTTGTGAAGCCTACTTAATTAAGAAGACCTTGATCACTTTCCACAGTACCCAGAACACATGTAACCTGACCTTCCCTCATTCACTCACGAACAGGCACTCGTGCTTTGCTCCAGAAATGCGGAATCTCTAATAGTTCCCGGAGTACAGCCTTCTAGCTCCCACGTCTAGGTTGTGCACAGCTTGACCTCCAAGAGATTATCCAGCTCTACTTCGCTTACTTTGCAAATTACTATTCATCTTGCAGCACTAATCTGAGACACCATTTTCCCAAACCTTTAATTTGCTCTGGAGGAAGTTGTTTCCCCTGATTCACAATTCTGCCCCTTACTGTGTGAACATGGGCAAAGTTATGTAAACCTTTCTTTGATTCAATTTCCTTTTCTCTAAAATGGGATAATAATATTTTTGAGGAACTACCATGCTGTTTTCCATAATGGCTGCACCGTTTCACATTCCCACCAACAGGGCAAAATAATAAAGTAATTTTGGGGGGAAGGCTATAGCTCAGTGATAGAGCACATGCTTAGCATGCATGAGGTCCTGGGTTCAATCCCCAGTACCCCCACTAAAAATAAATAAATAAACCTAACTACCTCCCCCCACAAAAGAAAGTAAAGTAAATTTTAATTTTTTAAAGTTATTTTTTAATTGAAGAAGAAATTAAAATAAAGTGGAATAATAACAGTGCTCACATCCCAGAACCATTATAAGAATTACATTATAGGATCGGCACGATTCGGTGAGCACAGAGCCTGGCCTGCAGAAAGTGCCCCATAGATGTTATGATTTCAAAATATTTAAATTTATTTACATTAATTTATCACTATACTGACCATTGACATCGATTACAATTAAGCTATAATATCTTTTATTAAACTGAGAGCTCCTTAATGGCATGAACTGAGGTTTATTCAGTTTGTCCTCAGCCCCAGTACAGTACCAGGAGTGCAGTGTATTTATGTTTAATTGAATTACAACTGGATGAGGTCAGCTGACGTTTACTTGCATAATAATAGCAAGGGCTGAGGTTTTTGAGGACTTGCTTTTTATCAGCCATCGGTCTGTACCTTTATATGTATCTTGGCCCTTCATATCCAGGGGTTCCACATCTGTGGCTTCAACCAACCGCAGATGGAAAATATTCAGGAAAAAGAATTCCAGAAAGTTTCAAAATGCAAAACTTGAATTGACGTAGTATTTACATTGCATTTACAACAATGCACTTACATTGTATTACGGGTCCTGGACACTTCAGATACATGACTTTTCAGCTTAGCAAC